CCCCAAAACCCCAAAACCCCAAAACCCCAAAACCCCATTTAGAAGATAACATATAGAAAATTTGATTTTGGAGTTTAAAAATGGAGGCAAGTAGAGACACTCTTAAAACCGACGAGGAACCAATCCTCGACAGCTCAATCTCATTAGACAAGTCAGGCAAGATCACCATTGACGAAGCAGAACTTATCTCACACATTGAAGATAGCAGGAACGAGCTAGAGAAGATTCTTGTTGGCTTCAAGGATTTAAACAAACTTGATACTATCAGGGACTATTTAGAGCGTAAGAAAGATGATTCTACACATCTTACTATGGAGATCAGGACGGTAGAAAGAATTTTAAGCAAAGAAAAGGGTGATTTTTATCACCATGTTTTCAAAATTCATCTCAATGCCATAGATATTCCCGCATATTTGTACTGAGTCCATCCCAAATATGATGTTCTTGCGGAAAGAGAGGTCTATGTTCTCAAAAATGTGAACTGTCTGATCCACAAAAATTCCTCTCTAATAGTACAGACAAATGAAAGGACAGAGATTATTCTCATCGATGAAGAGACTATGTCACTAGGAGAGATTGAAGACCGATCAAACGACTTTAATGATTCTTCAATGCAATTGATGCACAATCTCATCCTCAAGAAACCTTTTGATAATTGGCGGGAATGCAGGAGAAATTTGTTCAGGAACTATGGAGATATTTTACAACTCATCAGCAATCATGTTGACTTAAAGCAAATCACCCAGGTTAAGCATCTGCTAATAAAGGTGATTCCTTCTCTAGTCAAGCCTATTGGGAGTGCACAGAGTAAGCTGCAGAGCAAGCATCAGAACCTGTACAACTATGAAAACATTGACATGAGGCTGAAGGACACTAAAGAGTCTTTCATAGGTATTATCAAAGCCAAATATGAGGTAAGATACATTTGATAACTTTGTAGAAAGATGTAGATAAGTCAGACAATGGCTCTAAAATGGAAAGCTCTACCCTTCATATTGAATGTCCTTATGATGGCAACCAAATAACTGTTTATGTTAAATACCAGTCGAAGTTCAACACCACCAAAAATTTGCAGATCAATGATGTCGTTTTGTTACAGAATGTGTATCGAAAGATTACGTCAAAGTTTGAAATAGTGTGCCAATTAGTCCTTAAAGATAGGTCTGACTTGAGACTTCAAGTCATTGGAAGAATAGACAGACATAACTACCAATTCAGTGATATTGCTTATCCTTCTTTGAAGATTATTGACATGCCTTCAAATGCTATTTTGAGGACAAGGTTGAATATAGAAGCTACGATTGTCAACATCAACTTTGTAAGAATCAAATATATCTGTGAAGCATGTAATGACCATCTTGATATACACTCAAAGTGCTCTAAGTGTGAAATCCCTTCAAGAAAACTTTGCTTCGAAGCTATGGTTGGAATAGAAGATGGTACAGAAAGAGCAACTCTGAGAATATTCAACGAAAATTTCAAGACTGCCTTCAACATTCAGAGTAAGCATGAGGATTATTTCAAGGATTATTGTAAGAAGTATGGCAATTTCTTCTACAAGACTAAGCCTGAAGAGATACCAAACAAAGCTTTGTATGATGATATCACAAAGATGTTCAAGAACTCTATTTCCTTCTGTACTATCGACGCAGATGTAGTGCCATATTGAAAGATAAACACCAATATGCAGAAGATGAAAGAGAACAGCATGGAACAAAGGCAAGGTCAGTCTAATACCGATAAGGCTAGTGTTATATTCTTAAACGGTGATATCACTGTCAGAAATGCAGGATCATATTCAAAAGTAGTGAGGAAATCCAAGTGCTGTTTCAAGGCAGTCAAAGTCAGAAGACAGCCTGGCCTAGCAGCATATCTGGACTTGGTTTAGATAAAAACTTTCAATTAATTTTCTTAAAATTGGGGTTTTGGGGTTTTGGGGTTTTGGGGTTTTGGGG